CTCCACGAGACAGGACACTCGGGGGAGGGGGAGGGGACCATCCACGAGACAGGACACTCGGGGGAAGGGACCATCCATGAGACAGGACACTCGGGGGAGGGGACCATCCATGAGACAGGACATTCGGGGGAGGGGGAGGGGATCCTCCATGAAACAGGACACTTGGGGGAAGGGAGTGTCCAGGAGACAGTGAGAACACTGTCCTTATAGCCCCACCGGCTTACCAGTGCTGTAAAGGTCATTCAGCAAACCGCATGTACAGATGCTGGGGTCAGGCTGTCCCCAGGTCTGTGGGAGAGAGGTCAAGGCGACCCCAGCGGCACATCGCAAACATGGCACTGTCACAGCTCAGAAAAGCTGATCTCTTGGGACCTCAAGGCCACACCCACGTCCTGGGGATGGACGTGATGAGTGGGTGCCAGTGGTCACAGTCAAGGCCCAGATGGCTCTGCACCCCCACCCCCACTAGTGACTTATTCTCTCCATGGACTCTGGCTTTTAAAAAGAATTTCAAAGCCTCTCATGATAGTGATACCCCATTACAGGGATAAGGCTGTCCCTAACTGTGTGAGCCTCGTGCTGGCAGATGGGGATGGGGGCGATATGGCTGTCATTAAGCCGCACCGACGGGGGGACGGGGCCGTGTGTAGGGACAATGACAAAGAACGGAGGCGCCCCGTGGGCCCCACCTTCACCAGAAGGAGGCATCGGGACTGTGGCTGGAGCATGGCCGTCCCCGACGGAGGGCTGATAACCATTAATAAGAAACTTGCCAACAGGGATTGAAAACCTAAAATGCTTTCAAATTAGAATATACCTCCCTGTATTTCCGAGCCTTAAGTTTTCAGATACTTTCCGTCCACTCACCCCCTTTGATGAGAGGCCAGTGCCACTGACCCAGCTTCAGAGCTGGGGAAACAGAGGTAGACCAGTTGTGTAAAAACCCCCAAGGGGATTGACTACATGTTCATGTGTCTTGTGTACACTCTGTGTGTGCACGCTCATGTGTCTTATGTGCGCACTCGTGTGTCTGTGCATGTGCACACGCTCGTATGTCTTGTGTGCACACTGATGTGTCTGCTTGTGTGTCTTGTGTGCACGCCGGCATGTCTGTGCGTGTGTACACGCTCGTGTGTCTTGTGTGCACACTCATGTGTGTGCATATGTGTGTGCATGTGTGTGCTCATATGTGTGCACGCTCGTGTGTCTGTGCGTGCTCATATGTCTGTGCATGTGTGTGTGTTCGTGTGCCTGTGTGTGCACACTAGTGTATCTGCATGTGTGCCGCGCGTGTGTGTGCATGTTCATGTGTCTACGTGTGTGCATGCTCGCGTGTGCACGCTTGTGTGTCTGTGCACGTGTGCGCTCATATGCCTGTGTGTGCACACTTGTATGTCTGTGCTTGTGTGCACGCTCGTGTGTCTTAGGTGCACACTCATGTGTCTGTGTGTATGCACACTGGCATGCCTGTGCATGTGCACACGCTCATGTGTCTTGTGTGTGCGTTGATGTGTCTGTGCGTGTGCGTGCTTGTGTGTCTTGTGTGCATGCCAGCGTGTCTGTGCGTGTGTACACGCTCATGTGTCTTGTGTGCATGCTCCTGTGTGTGCATATGTGCGTGCTTGTGTGTCTGTGTATGTGTGTGCTCGTATGTCTGCACGCTCGTGTGTCTGTGCGTGCTCATATGTCTGCATGTGTGTGTGTTCATGTGCCTGTGTGTGCACACTAGTGTGTCTGTGCACGTGTGCCGCGTGTGTGTGTGCATGTTCATGTGTCTACGTGTGTGCATGCTCGTGTGTGCACGCTTGTGTCTGTGCATGATCATACGTCTGTATCTGTGTGCACGCTCATGTGTATTGTATGTGTGTACCCTCGTGTGTCTGCATGAGTGCACTTCTCTGCACGTCTGCGCACGCTCATGCATCTGTGCGTGTGTACGTGCTCATATGTCTGTGCACGTGTGCCCACGCTTGTATGCCTGTGTGCACTCTCGTGTGTGTGCATGTGTGTGCATGCCTGTGCGCACATGTCTGTGTGTACACCCAGCTGTGCACAGCCACGCCTACACGTATTTGTGCTTTGCAGAAACCCGTGATGACCCAGCGGCCCTGAAGGGGGGTTGTCAGAAGAGGACGGAGCGACCCCGGAGCCCCGGCTTTCCCTCCACCTCAGCCATCACGTTCCTCCGCCTGCCGTGCACTTTGTGCTGCACTCAGTCCAGCCGAGAGACGCGACGGAACAGCGTCCATAATGGAACCCCACCTGCGAGGGGACTGCCGTCGTCAGACCTTCAGCTATTCGCCCACGTTCCCTGACGCCCTCCGACACCACCCCTGCCGGCCTGCTCTGATCCGTGAGAAACATCTAAGCTGACACTCTTTCCTTTAGGACCATGTTCAACTTTTTGAAGGACACAAAGTAGAATGTTCTCAGTGTCATCTTTCAGCCCTTTCCCTGCTGGCTGGGACAGTAAAGGGCTGGCTCCGCGTAGCACCTGCTATGTGTGTGCCCCACACCATACCGGAGCACGAGCAGGTGTGTGTGTGCGCGTGTGTGTGCGCGTGTGTGCAGTCAGACAAGGAAATTGGGCGTCAAGGCAAGTGACTGAACTCATGGCCAGCTGACAGAGAGGGATTGATCCCCGCCCCCCGCCCCTCACACCTATTCTGCAAGTTCATCTGTGGCTCACAGACCAGGGGAAATTCCACTGGGGTCAAGGGCAGAGCAAGCACGTGGTAGCTGGTGAGCATCTGATCGATGTCCAAGTGCAGGTACAGAGGACCTGCTGGAGAGGTGGACGCTGGGGCTCTAGACAGGCAGGACGGCGGGTTCCAGCCGGCACTGCCACTCCTGCGGTGGCATCCAGTGGGACAGGGGAGCAGGACCGCTTACTGATGCCTGCTGCCCACCTGTAGTCAGTCTTGTAGGTGAGCTCCGAGTGCTCCTCCACCAGGACAGCCTGGGATTCGGGGTTACTTCTGGGCATCTGTGTGGCTTATCCAGCTTTAAGGGGAGCCCACTGGGACCCTTGGGGCTGCCCTGGAACATAGTAATGGTAATGGCACCCCCCCCCCCAACTGAGCATCATTACATGCTTCCCAGAGACTCTTTACTCCTTGGGTTAAATTTAAGCCAATTTTTTTAGGTTACTTATTTTGTGAGAAAGAGAGAGAACATGAGTTGGGGAGGGGCAGAGAGAGAGAGAGAGAGTGAGAGAGAATCCCAAGCAGGCTCTGCGCTGTCATCGCAAGGCCCCACGTGGAGCTCGATCCCACCAACTGTGCGATCGTGACCTGAGCTGACATCCAGAGTTGGACACTTAACCGACCGGGCCACCCAGGCGCCCCGCTTTTAAGCCCGTTTTGCAGAAGGGGACACTGAGCCCTGTGTGTGAGGCAGCCAGCCCTGGGAGCTAGAGGCTACCACGTGATACTTTCTAAAGTGACTTTGGGCCAGCTTGAACTTTTTTCTCTTAAACTGCTCGGGGACGGAAGGGAACGAAAGGCAGGTGGAGAAGCCTGTCTTCTGACCTGACGGGGGTCAGAGTCCCACCCCCGCCCACCGCCGTGCGGACCCTGGACCGCCAGCTCTGTGTTTCCACTGAGCCCAAAGGCGGCGGCCGCAGAGCTCACGCCGTCCCCAGGCCCGCCCGCGGGTTTCAGAAATCAGTTTGAACGACTGGGCTTCAGGTTATGCTGGGGTCTGCAGAAAAGACAGACGTGAGGCCCCTTCTCTGGATGGAAGCTGGTGCACATACGTAGCTCCGAATTCAGTGCTAAAAACGATTAAAAGCTTCCTGCAAATGAAAGGAGATCAGTTGGGGGGGGTACACCTCTCCTTGTCCACAAAGTAAATCAAAGTCAACGTGAGTTCCTAGGAGCTAGAGAAGAGACGGTCTGCTGGCCGTGGGTCCCCGAGTGTTCGTGTAATAGGGACAAAGGGTCCCAGGTACTACTTTACTTGTTCCTGACGGAGGACTTCATTGGCCACGTTGTTCCTCCACTGCCGACTTGAGCGCCATCAGAGCGAGAGCACGTACTCACTCATTCACTCATTCACTCAGCGGCACCACAGAGGCCCGCTGACCTGTGCTGACCTGGCGGGCGTCCTCCCAGCCCCCAGCACCGGTCCCTCCACCCCTCCAAAGCTCCTCTCCAACCCCCATCGAGCCCCACGGCCCTGCGCACCTGTGGGCTGCAAGTGCAGCCAGTTCCACACCGGAGACCAGCGACCCCCTCCTCCAGCTTCTCAGGGTCCCCCTTCCGGCCGAACTTGGCCTCACCGCCCCCAGCCCCTTGCTGTGCCCAGTAATGTCCACCCCAGCCTTCCAGCAGCTCACTCCAGGGCTTGGGGCTGTCTTCTCCTTCACCCCAACGTTCTGTCGGGAGAACCTGGCTGTTGGGAATATACCTTTATGCCAAAGACTGCCACTCAGTTCTTTTCCACGATGCCTGGATCTTGTCCCTGGTCTCGTGACAAATCCGTGTGCTTGGTCTACAGCTGTGTCCTGTCGTATCCGTGCTGTCTCTGCTCTCGCTTCCGTGGCCGGTGCTCCATTACTCTACCGAGACCTTCGTTGTGACTTGTGAACGAACGCGCGTCCCCAGGGAGCCCCAGCTACTCCACGTGCCGTGCATGGGGGCAGCCCGGGAGTCAGAAGGGTGGCCGTGAACCTCACTACAGGGATCCCCGTGCCTTCCAAACGAGCCCCAGCCTGGGATCCGCCAGGCCTGTCGGTTTGGGGGTTTGGGGGACCCCTGTCCAAGGCAAGCCGGCCCCGTCTCTTTTCTCCAAAGCTCCTCCTTCCTCAGGTCGCCTGCCCAGCCTCTAGGCCTCGGTCCACAAACCTGGCCACGCCCACCTGCCACCTTATCGTCTGTGTCGCTTTTGTGCTGCGAAAACAGAGTTGAGTGTATACCATCTGACCCTTCACGGGAAGGACTCACGAGGCCTTCTGGGTCTCCCAAGTCTCCCTCTGCCCTTCTCTCATGAGGACGCTTGCCCTTGGATTTAGGACCCAGCTCGATTATCCAGGGTAATCTCATCTGGAGATCTTTACACTAAATACATGTGCAAGGACCCGTTTTCCAAATAGGGTCACATCCACAGGTTCTAGGAGTTAGGATAGGAGTCTGGGGAGCCACCATTCAGCCCACTGTAGCTAAATTATAATCACGCTGACAAAGAGATCAGTGGAACACCCCCCCCTCCCCCGGCCAGACCCTAAGAGAGAGCACGGGGAAAGCAGAAGGTCATGGCACGTGCTCCCATGAACGGCCTCCTCCCAGCCTCCCAGGGAGCCCTGGGCTCAGGCACACGCTTCACTTCCGAGAGCCACCAGGAGCATGGACAACAGGCGTCCTCCCCGTCCCGTCCACTGGCTTTGCCACACGCTCCCCCTTGTCCTCTGCACCCCCATCCTCATAGAATCCCCCCCACCCCGTGACTGTTCTCACATCACCCAGCAGCAGGACACTTGGCACTCACTGCCCCACTCAAGGCCAGAGGACCCACTCTGTGCAAGTAAACCTCCTGTCCCACCAGTTCAGGGAAGGGGGACTGGGAGGGGGTAGACGGTGCATTGAGTGCATCGAGGGTCCACGGCCCAGCCTGCCCAGACGTGGTAGAAAAGCTTCAGGAACAATGGCTGTGCGTGTGACCTCACCGAGCAGTGACCTGGGGGGCTCGGGCACAAGCAGGCCCACGCCCGTGGAGTCCACGGCAGCCAGCACAGCACCCAGGAACGGCCACGGAGCCACCAGACTGCCGGTTTCCAGGAGGCTCCCAGGCACGACTGACCGTCCCCCACCAGAGGCAGTGGCATGTGGACAGCCTGAGTAGGACCAGCGTTCCCCACTCAGAGAGAGGGGAGGCTCCCTGTGGCTGTCACCATGGTTACAATTTCAAAGTGCCCCCGAACTGCCCACTTCGTGCTGGCCTTTCCAGGGGTAACGCTGTGGCTCACTCCAGACAGAGCCCTGAGGCCGCAGCCCTGCTTGGGGGCAGGGCTTCCCTGGGAGTCAAACGGGGGGCAGAGACGAAAGTCAGCTGTGTCCCCAAGGGCTGACCAAGGGAAGCGCTTCCTGCCCCCTCGCAGTGGGACTCTCCCCAGACTGGTGTCTAATCCACAGAGCTCGCTGGGTGCCCACGCCGACAGCTGAGTGCTGGCTCCCCATGGCAGCAAATAAGAGGTGGTCGTTTTCATATAATAAATTCCATTCTTTGAAAGAGCTTTCCCAAGTCCCTTTCCTAGCAGACGGTCATTCCAGAAGCACCTTTCCTGGAAGCTGATTACGGGGAGGTGGGCGACCAGGGACCCTGGTGTTCAGCTGCTTCCAACCAAGAGCGAGAGGAGTCCGTGGTTTCATTACAACTCCAAGTGGGTATTAGAGTTAGCGTTGAAAACATCTCTCCGGGGGCGCTCAGTCGGTAGAGCATGTGACTCTTAATCTCGGGGCCGTGAGTTTAAGCCCCAAGCTGGGCATGAAGCCTACTTAAATAAAAAAGTAAAATATTTCTCCAGAGTTTTATTCTCCAACAGTCTTCTTTATCAGAGAAAAGAAAAGAAGCATCATGAGGAGCTGAATGTGCAGATCTTGTAGTTTATTTTCTTTTTAATGTTTATTTATTTTTGACAGAGAGAGAGAGAGCATGAGCTGGGGAGGGGCAGAGAGAGAGGGAGACACAGAACCCGAAGCAGGCTCCAGGCTCCGAGCTATCGGCACAGAGCCCGACTCAGGCTCGAACTCACAAACCGCGAGATCATGACCTGAGCCGAAGTCGGACGCTCGACCGACTGAGCCACCCAGGTGCCCTGGATCCTTCATGGTTTAAAGTGAGCTTAGAATAGGCAGCATGAGGCCCTCTGCTCAGATCACCTAGCGCCCAACACATGGCGGTCCAGGCCCAGATAGCCACTTATGCTCAGTTCCTGCCACATGCCCGGCGAAGGGTATGACCTTCCAGGTGATTGCCCCAGCGCATCGACCCGAACCACCTCAGGTCAGTGGTCTTCCACGGCGGTGCTCTAGCCAGCAGCGATTTCTGTAAGTCTCAGCAGCGCTGTGTGGAAGAAGCCGCTTCACCGGGGGCCGGAGACCCACCCCGAAGGC